AATGAGAGATGGGTGCAAAGAGAACGAGACTTCCAGGTGAGGACCAATGTTTTTATTAACCTTTTTATACAGTACTAAGCTTTTTAACTGTGACCCATAGCTGAATCTCTATAATTTTTGAATGGATGCGCAAATGTATGTGGGAAAAAAAACCCCCAATGCATTCTTACTGCATCCGCAGTATTTCAAATATATTCCCAAGGCAGACTTTTGGGACACAAGAATGATAGTAGTGTGATGATTGCCTTGGTACATTAAGCAAGCCTTTCAGGTCTGGGAAACAGGCTTTGCATTTAGGTACTTAAGATTATAAGAATGTGAAATGAAGTGGAGCATGTAACCTTAAATATTTATAGGATACTGTAGAGAGCTAATTCTTAGAAAATTTTCCAGCCTGTTTTTTCTAAGGTAACTATCCTATGAACTGGAGAGTAGAAGTATCTTTCTTCCAGCTTATATAGTTGTCTGTGTTAACCATGTTGAGGAAGCCACCACAGACATCCTGGGGGGGAAAAATGCTTTAGTAAAGCTTCTCTTACAATAACCACACTATAATTCTTGATTAAGTCTAATGACATGCTCCTGCTATTTGTATGGATAGGTTCAAATTTTTCCCAGACACTTCAAGTATTCATTTCCAAACTGCTAAAAAACAAGGAATATATTGCCAAGATTAGATGAGTACCTGGAATCATCAGGTACAGGACAAAGCCAGGGAAAAAAAAGATGAATTTAGTTGTACTGATTAACTCAATCTAAACCTTCCAACAAAAATATAGCACTTGAAATACTAGCTCTAAAAATAACTGTCAATGAACTCTACTTTATCACATAACGTAACTTCAGAACTTTAAGAATCTATGAATCATCCTAGAATGATCCTGGGAAATGAGGACCAATCTATGTTGATGAATAAACAAAGCTCACCCTCAAACAACAATGGAACACCCAGAAGAAGCAAACTTCAGAATTAAGTATACGTATATGTGTAGACTTTACACATTGTACTAAACCAGAATATACCTTGTTTGGGGCTTAGCATTATTTATGAGCCTAACCCTTGTGACTTGTTTAACAAAACATGATTAATAAAATTATGGCTTAGCACAATATGTGAAGAAAACAGTGGTTATGTGAATAACATAATTAGACCACAAAACAACACTATCCATAACATTGATGTTTTTATCCACTTGAAAGTGACTCAGATGGGTAAATGGAATCAATTTGTCAATCACAAATTCAGTAGGATACCTCATATTTTATTTATGTAAATAAAATTTAAAACCATATTTATAGATTAGAGAAATGGGTCTTAAATGACATAAATGCAAAATTCTCTACTTAGAAATTAAAAATCATATGCATAAATATAGGATGTGAGGGGGTACCTGGCTTGGCAGTCATTGATTGATTACATGGCTTCATGTCAATGTTGACTGTTAGCAACCACATAGTTAGACCTTCTCTAGGATAATCTGTTCCCAACCTGGCCCTTCTTCCAACAATGTACCCATAACCCACAGTAATAAAATATTTGCATGTGTCCAAAATTTGATAATTTGAGCCTAGTCATTTGTGCCTTGTGAGAATTCTGAATTGATTTCTTCTATTATTCCTTTGTTTTCTTGGCTATCTGTGATTTTTTTTCAAGTCTTCTGCAACACCAAGCTCAAAAGCATCAATCTTCTTTCTCTCTTGCTTCTTCAAAGTCTTTCACTTCTACAACATGTTACAGGGAAAACTGTTGCCAAATGATTCTGATCTTTGTAGGCATAGACACATCATGAGTATCTAAGCATCTTTTCAACAACCTTCATTGTTCTCCTACCAACTGCTGGTCTCTGGTATATTTCTTGACTGCTGGTACCTTTACTGTTGATAGTTAATCCCAGGAGGCAGAAGATATCCACTACTTCAGTATCTTAATTGTCATTTCTAAGGCTGGTGATTGTACCTGTTGACTTTGTCCCTTTTTTTTTTCTGTGCTCCTTAAATTTAATTATTAGAGCGTCCAGATAATTTGTAACTTCAGCTTTTTCTGTGCTCCTTAAATTTAATTATTAGAGCGTCCAGATAATTTGTAACTTCAGCTTTTTCTGTGCTCCTTAAATTTAATTATTAGAGCTTCCAGATAATTTGTAACTTCAGCTATCAGTAGTTTCATCAGCAAAGCACAGGTTGCTGATGTTTCTTCCTCCAAGTTTAAAACCACACTTCTCATCTTCTTTCAAGTCAAGCTTCCTCAAAATACATTCAGCATATAAACTGAATAAGAAGTGAGTGCACAGCTTTGTCTCACTTCTTTACTGACAAGGATATAGGTGCCTGTTTGCTTTAGCTGGGATAACTTTCCTGCCTTGGGTGGACCTGCTAGGAATACATGCTGTTTGGTGTACACTCCTAGAATTCTTTGCTCATTGTGCCCAGAAATACCCCACTGCTCTGATGAGGTACCATGGCAGGACTGGGTAGTGATGGTGATGGTGGAGGGCTTGACAATAGTACTTATGAAAAAGAACTTCACATACTAATTGATTTCTGACCAAATATGCATCAGCAATATCATATACTGTATCTGCAAAAAAGGCAAATGAAATGTAAGACATCATCACCAGGAATATGGCTTCTAAACCACAAAAACTAATTGTCCCACTTGGTCCTGTATTAGTCTTAAATGCTTATGTTCAGTTCTGAGCGTACACTAAGAAGGATTCAGAGAAACTGGAACAGGTTCAGAGCACAGACAGCAAGGATGATCAAGGGACTAGAAATGAAGTCCTGTGAAGAGATCAGAGGAACTGAGACCATTTAGAGATGAAATGAAAAGAATAAGGTAGGGATGCAATAGCATTCATCAAATAGTGAAAGCATGTTACATCGCAGGACACAAGTTTTTTGTCATCCCATTAGGCAGTACAAGGAATAATGGATTTAAGTTATAGTAAGGCACTTTTTGTTGGAATGGCAGGAAAACAATTCTGCAGAGTACGAGCAGCTCCACAATGGAATAAGTTACCCAGAGAGGTGGTGACCTTCCCTTCATTGGAACTGTACAAGCAAACTTCGGTTGTGGATGTTTTAGTGTGAATTCCTGGCCAACCTTGTCTGGGCTTGGAAGCAAAGCAGGAACTGAACTGATTAGTATTTTGGTGGGAAACAACAAGAGAATTCCAGCACTGTAGACCACCAGATTGAGAAGTCAAGTTTTGGAATAAGCCAGTGGCAACTATCAATGCATGGATCTGTCCATGATGTCACCAGGAATCAGGATGAACCTGAAGATGACCATCAGCTGAACAGGGGATTGGACTTGAGGGACTAAATTTTTTAAATTTATTTGATTTCTAAACTACCACAGTGATGCAACTCATAGCTGCGTATGAACATAAAACATCCATTGGCACTGTAATTAAGGAAAATATAATACAGGGATTTAAATAATCAACAACCTAATTGGAGCAATAATATCTTCCAACTGCATGATTCTACTATGTCTACAACTATAAGCCAGCAATGCACATTTACATTGGCCAAAATGCAGAAATCCTGGACATGACATAGATGGTACCATCCTAAAAATACTTTCTTAAAACTCCAACAGTGTTAAAGCAGGATTTATTTATCACATTTGTTTCTCACCAAATCTGGCAACCCACAGCAGTTTACAAGAAAACCCACAACTCAAAATACTGTTAAAACCAGAAAAGATAACAAGTTCACAAAATAAATATTATAAACAATTATATATTAAAATTAATAATTACTCTAATTGCCACAGGTGCTTGCCCAGTACTAGGTGACAGCAGCCCTCAAATGAATTTACCTGCAATGTGATCTAATGCAATCATATGAATATTCCTCAGAAGTAAGTTCTGATGAGCTCAAATGGATTTTTGACTAAATATTCCTACAGTTACATCCTAAAAATGGCAACAGGTATCTGTGGGAGAGCAACCTAATCTTGCTGGAAAATCAGCGGCGAATGTGAAGGTTGCCATAATTATACAGCAGGGTGTGTCATGTATAGCCTCTCCAGTAAAAATAGGACTCTGTGTTTGGGTGAGCTTATGCCACATTAAATATGTTGGTCTTCAAGATTTCACTGTACTCTGTGGTGGATATATTGCAGGTGGACAGAAATTGAAACATACACCCCTACTCTGGTACAGAAACAGGCTAAAAAGATCATCACCCGCTGCATTTCTCCCTGTTACAGGTCAGTGAAAGGCACAGTGACCTCGGCTTCTTTACTGGAATTCTACTATTTTATCACTTAATTCTAAAGTAGTTTTGCAGGATTTTTTGGTTGTTTTTATCTTTACTCAACTACTAGTCCAATGACAGAGACCTCTCTCTCTTCCCTCAGCTCAGAGGTTGCTGTGTGGGGGGAAAAATAAATGGCTCTTTCCAAAAACCAGAAGTGGTCATTTGCAGAGAGCTTTTAAAATTAGGCAGGGGGCCAGTAAGGCCTTGTTATAAAGCTGACTCCCGCGCTACTGAAGGAACTCTTCTTACAGCGACTGGAGGGTATACTCTCCCTCCTCTTCCCGTCCTTGTTTAAGCCTGAAATTTTGAGTATATTGTCTGTGTTTAGACACAATAGCCTTCTATTAATGTATTTACTGCACTTTTATACCTGGGTTTACTTAACACACGGGACCATAAACTAACTCTACCGAGTTCACCAACAGAGCCCTAAACTATCTAAAAATGTTTTGCGAGCCAGCCAATCGTTAGGAAAGGCTCCATCTTGACGTCCTTCTCTCCATGTAAACCATCCTGCATTGGCTTGCTGTCACTGAAGTTCGCTTCCATTGTCTACAACAGAAGGTGCCCTGCGATCGCTCGCGCTCCAAAGCGTTGCTGGACGATGCCTGCACGAGCGGGGGGGGGGGAGAGAGGTTCGGTGCGCGCATGCGTCCCGTAGCAGAAGCCGCTCACGACGCCTCCGAGAGCAGCCCCGCCCCTCAACCTCATCCAACGCGGGGTCACGAGCGAGTGCTGAGCAGGCGCCTTCACAGAGCTGTTGTGATTTGGTTCTTCGGCGCTCGGATGGGGCGCGCGGAGGGGTCAGCGGGGCGCGAGCCGAGCATCGCTTGAGCCCAGCGAGTCGCCATCAGTCTCATTATGAGGC